AGGACAAAGTGTACGGGCCGCAGTGTGTGGCTGTACGGCCAGTGAAGACGGGCAAGGAGGTCATTGGTATTGGTACATGTACTCAGGACGGCGTCAAGTACGGTACGGTCTTATGTTCTGTACGCACTTTCTATTAATGTTGATAACAATATTCATTTCTTTTTTTTGGGGTGGTTCTTGTTCTCAATCGTAGCTGTTGTTGTTGTTGTTGTTGTTGTTGATGATGATTAGATTAAAACGTTGAACATATCTGAGCCAAACTTCAAATACTCAAGTCTCCATCCAATTGCTTTTTTTTTATCGTACTTGCAATGATGATGATGATGATGATGATGATGATGATGTTGATGATGATGATGATGATGATGATGATGGTGATGGTGATGATGATGATGATGATGACTATCATGATCATGATGATCCTCTTCATATTGGTGTGGGTTTAAAGACCCCTTGAATAGACTGTGTCAAACTAGTTGGTAAAAAGCGGAACCTCCGACTTCATGGAAAGCCATGAAAAGTCTTCCAAGAAAGCGACTTTTATCTTTCATACCAGGGTCGGCCGTCCACGTGTCAGCTAACAAAAATTCTATGAGATATTTTCAAGCTATGTCGTGGGTAAACAAAACGAGCTATCTTAATGCTGTTTTCATTACTTGTCTTACCTTCATCTACCAGACATGCACCAGTGCGCTTCTCGAGGCGACCCGCATTACTTAACCCTGGACGGCGTGAAATACAACTTCCAGGGCAAATGCAGCTACACGTTGGTGCAAATCTGCAACTCCTTCTCTGAAAGCGACAGTTTTCCGACGTTCAGGTAGGCTGTTTGGAGGTATCCAAAGCTTAAAAGGGTGGGGTATTTGTTTGTTTATTGATCACTTTTTATGTTTATATTTGTACTGAAATGACGTAAAGTCGTTTCGAAGAGCATACATATATGATCAACTAGCATGACTAACGACACAACAGAAACATTGTGCGAACATCCTTTAAACGTGGAACCTGGTTTGGGTTAGGGGTAGGAGGTGGGGTAGGGTGGGGAGGGGAATCGAATGTCAAACTTTGATTTTGTGTTAAAGTCCATGTTCAACGTTGAGTATATTAATATGTATTATGACGTTATTGTTACGTTCTACAATAATCATCTACGAAGCGAAACATTGTTATCTTTCACATCCACAGCCACACTGACAGTGCTTTTCACATACACGTTATTAAAAAGGCAGCTACTTTTTGTGATAAACACAATTGTTCCCTTTTCAACTGTTAGAAACAGCATCATAGATTTGTACACAGACCCATTAATTATTTACACATTTTTGTATTTTTTCCTTCTAGTATTGTGTCTTCAAATGAGAAGAGGAGGCCCAGTGATCATGTGGCCTTCACCAGAGGATTTGAGCTCTCTGTGAGAGGAACGATCTACACATTCAGGAGAGGAACGCTTAAAGTCAATGTGAGTACTTAGATTCGCTGCGAGCATCGTATATGTACTTATGTGATTTTTCTCAAGACCGGAAGAAAAAAAGACGCCAAACGTGCTAATGATGTTTTCTCATTGGCAGTGAGAAAAAAATGTATAAGGTGGGGGGAGGGGGGGATTGAAGCAATATTAGAGGAAAATTGTCCTAAAAAGTTCTGTAGCCTTTTGTCAAAAGGAGTCTAATATTGTAGTAAATACATAAGCTTTAAAAAACGGTAAAACAATTACCCAGAACGAATATTTACTCATTTACAATAATAAAAACCATCACAACAGTTAATCATGATACATTATGTATATTTACACTTTTCCTCCCAGGGCCTTGAGAGACACTCTTTAAACTACAAAGATAACAACATCAAGATTACGGCAGAGAATAAGGGCAGAATGCCTAAACTGACGATTGACACCGACTTCTGTCTTCAGATCCTATGGGATAATCGAATGCATCTGTATGTAAGTGTTTACCATGTTCTTGCCTCTCTTTCTACGAAGAGCAATATAATGTTGGACGGATGTGTAGGTGACCCTTGTTTAAACCTCAGCTTCTGTTGTAAAAGTCATTTTCACGATGAAAGCTCCAGAATTTCGATAAATTTGCGATATGGCTTAGCTTACCTAAACAGGAGGAGGAGGCTTAAAAACTCAGCAAACAACTCATACTAAAGAATTCTTTGCAAGGTACTCCTCATCTATACACATTAAATCAGAGCTTCCTTATAAGATACATAATCAATGCATCTAAAATTATTCAGTGTATGAATCTCTCGCAAACTGGAGGATGATTCATTTATTAATCTATAACAACTACAACAGTGCTTTTTTCATAAAGTACCGGTGGATGTAACATTTACTTACATGTACTCGTATTCATTATTTAAGTGTTTTTCGAATTTTGATGTGTTGAATTCCAAAATACGACCTATCAAAAATTAAATCTCTTTCTTATAACACGTGCACGTTTTGGTACGATGAATTGTCACTTGATATTTTCCTCTTGGTCAGATCAACGTCCCAAGTGTTTACAGGAACCACACGTGTGGACTTTGTGGCAACTATGACGGGAACACAAAGAACGAATTTGTCCTACCGGGCGAGGACAGACCAAGAAAAGGGCACTTCTTCAAACATTATAATGCGCCTGATGATTCTGGCAAACCCACGTGGGTAACCCCCTACATTTTTTAAGTATACAAAACAAGAGCTCAATCTTGGGGAGGGAGGAGGGGAGGAGGGACTAAGTTGACATTGTCCAGCAGCCTCCTGGGGGGTCTCTTGCTGAGGACAGAGAATATATTTTTTTAAAAGCTGGAAACACCTCAAGCTTCACTTAAATGCCTCCGTTTTAAAGAAAAGGAGAAGGTCAATGAATGCTCACAGTTGAATTGGGTTTCCGAGGAACATTTACGAGAAACCAGAACATTTTGTAATCAGGTGTTTGTTAATTGGCCTTTTTATGTGATTGTTTCTTCTGCTTATTTTGATAGTTTTTCATTGTTTTTCTTGTGGTTGTTTAGTTTTGCTTTTGCTACATTTCCTTTTGGGTTTTATTCAGTTTGTGTTGACAAATTATTTTTTTTCTGTTTTTGTTTTTAGGGTAGGTGGGAGGAAGGCGGAGGAGACAGGGTTGTTGAAATCTTTTGTTCTTTTAGATATATGAGCATGGAGCTGGCCAATTTGAAAGCAAATACTGAGACGTTTGAGTTCTTTGCCAGTTTTTTCTTGATGTGCGTATGTTCTTCAAATAATAAAACACAGAAGTCAGTCGCTAGTAAGGGTTAAAAGTATAAACTTAATTTGAGAAACTGAACAGTGGGAAATGTCAAAAGCTAAAAAAAACACAAAAAAACCCAGCAAGTCTTTAGCATTTCCCTCATTTTCATTCAACATGTCTGACTGAAATGTCCCGTTCCCTTATGTTGCTGGCTGATATTTCAATGTCGTAATAGTATTGTCCCTGTGTCCTCTCTACAGATGCATGGACAAAGTAGAACCAGATCGACAATGTTCCAGCGTCGATAGAGCAAAATACAAAGGCAGCGAGTACTGTGGCGTGTTTGACCCAGAGGGACCATCCCCGTTCGCCCGTGTTGTGGTGGGTATTTATATGTGTGTCTTTGTGAATTCTTGTGCAATTATGTGTGAGCTGGTGCACACAAATGTATTTATGTGTGTTTGCACAGGAGTATGTGTGTGTATGTGCGGGTGTGTGTTGATGCGTGTGTTTTTGTGTGTGTTTGTGTGTGTGTGTGTGTGTGTGTGTGTGTGTGTTTGTCTGTGTGTGTGTAAGCACATGTCTTTGCTCTCTCTCTCTCTCTCTCTCTCTCTCTCT